TGTTAACGCAGCCAGTGGCGGGGGTATGGAGGGTGCACGCGGTGCGACTGGGTCCCAGGCACCGCGCTATCAAGGGGCGGGGGTGACATTTGCCAGGTCGCCCTCTTGTATCGCTCGCACCGTGGAGCGACTGAACTTGACCTCTTTAACGGGGCCTCTCTCGCACCGAGGCCCCCCTTGTACGTACATCGTTGTCGTCCGATAAAACTGTAAAAGCGTGCAGTCCCCAATCATAATAATAATTAGGTTAATATAAAGCCGTATATTTTGTGCCATTTTGTTGACCTGTGTCTCGAAATGGCTGTCCGAACAGGTTCACGTTCATAATAAAGGTTTTTGGGTTAGATCGCGTTATTTATAAATGTGTCGTAACCCTCCACCATCCGACACGGCCAATCAGCAAAAAAAAAGTGTCACGTTGACAAAAGACAAATCATTCACTACTTTAGCCCACCGGTGTGTTGAAGAGTGAATCCACAACATTTACAGTTTGAGTACGACGTTTCGCTGGTAAATACATCCAGCATCATCGGGGTTCACGTTTTAAGTTAAAATGAAAACTTTGGAGGGGGTCAGGCAGTCCCCAATTCGGCGAGGGAAGGCATTCCACAGGCTTTGGGCCGTATAGAGATAAATAATGTATGGGCCGCAGGTGTTTGTGATCGCGCCTTGTGGGTGCGTTTAGCAATTGCCACCTGGGCCCATGCCAGCCAAAAAATCGCCACGGCACACCGCTCGTGTACAACCGCGTGCTTGATGTCCGATTACGTTCAGTTGACGCGTTTAGTCAGTTTACAAACAACACCGTCGTTCATTCAACGTCCGTGAGCACGATGCTAATTTCATAATTGTCAACCGCCACCAAAGTGAGAGTGCAAGAGGAGGGCCCCGGTTATCCGCCGTGCCACGGGGGACCGATATCGCTGGACCCTGTTATTCGCGAGGTCTTCCGCGATTGTTTACTCCACGTGTGTGAAAAAGAGCTTCATAGCCCATCGGATTTCTCCAGGATAAATAACAGCTCCCGCGGATAATAGGAGTCACGGAAAATAGGTTCACGGATAATAGGAGTCACGAGTAATAGGTTTGCAGACAATAGGAGTCACGGGTAGTAGGTTCGCGGATAAGAGAAGCTCTGCTGTATGAACATTAAACATCCCCTTTTATTGTATTTGATCATACAGTGCACATACATTGTCGAATGCGTCCACTCCGCGCAAAGGAAACGCCACGTGCTTTTGTTTCAATGAGGGACAAACGACTCTAAATGTAGGAAAGAGTTGTAAAGGAATGGCCTCAATCCCCAGATAGATCACTGCATGGCTGAAATGTTAACTCGTTTTTGTCTCTTACATGGGACGCAATGCGACCACTGAAGCAGCAGTAGGTTAATACAGTCTTATACATACATCTCTTAATTGTTTAAATACTCATGACTTTAAATAATTGGGACATGTTACAGATATAGCTTAAAGAGTAAAGCAGTTGGGCTCCCAAACGTGTTACTCATTACATTGGGGTAGAGCTCAATTAGTCAAGCAGCAGAGCTCCAAACCTTCAAGTTCCGAGTTCTAATCCAGGCCCGAGTTCTTTCAGCCTTTTCATCGTCACTGCCCTAACCCCCTTCCCCAGACGAAGCTCAATTCAAGAGTGCGAATGGGCCCTGGCATAGCAACGTACAATTGACACCAATGCTGCACGACGTCTGATGGAGATGAGCAGCACCCTGTGTTTAAATGACCTAAACACCGCATACGTTTGTTAATGTGTATAATGGTTTATACATGTTTACAATTGTTTATAATTGTGCACCGTATTAGCATTCGTCATCACAGTCGTCTGTCGTTACGTTTGCTGGAGGAAGGCCTCTCGTGCCTCGTCAGCCAGGAGGGAGGGGGTTGTTTGTCCATACTTCACCACGCACTTCCGCCACGGTGCAGTGGTGGGAGCAGTTGTCAACTCACTGCACTGTGAACCCCGGAGTTGTGAGTTAAAGTCCCCGGCCAGGGTTAACATCAGTGGCGAGCGAAACCTGCACCAAATCCTGGGCCACCACCACCGCCACTCCCCACCGCTTCCTTCAGTCTTCACGAGCCCACGCTGACCAGCGTGGTAACGTGAGGTCAACACAGCCTCCACGACCCGTACGGTGTGCGGGAGGCCTTCATCCACCAATGGAATTTGACGAATGCAGATACGCTCATGACACACCTATCATTGTTGAATGATTCCCATGGTGGCAGAGACAAATGTGAACATCCGGTGCAGAACGTGTGTGTATTGTCTGTGGTCGCTAACAGCACTTGCCCCGGCAGCATATGTAGGCAATACCGAAGGGGACCTTAATCTTTGTTCTACACACCCACATATATACACATATAAACCATATATGTATACACCTATACTATAGGCTGTACAATGCTGGCACTGAAATGCGTGTGTGCATCACATACCCAAGACAAGCTTAGTCACGCACGCACAAACTGTAACACTGCTGAAAAGTGCAAACCTGCTTTTGTCCATCACCTGGCCTCAGAGCTCTACTGCTGAAGCCCAAATCGCCTTTCGCAAAAGCACCCAGAAGTGAGACGCAGGCAAACAAGCTCGCTCACTCACGGAGCTAACTCCCTCATCAAGCTGCTTAGCCAAGTGGCCATGCCAACCAGCGTCAATTACAACCGATCCCGTCAATTGCCCCCCCCCCCCCCCCCGAACGCCCCGACTGAGCCGAGCACCTCCATCGTTGCGCGCACGGCAAAGAGGCGAAGGCGCACGGCAAAGAGGCGAAGGCGCAGCCTTGCAATCGCACCGCTCGGGTCACTGCTGGCGAAACGGAAGAGCCTGTGGGGAAGACGGAGCTCTAAGGCAGGCAACTCCTAGCACGCTGATTTTGGCCTACTCTTCCACGTTGGCCAGGCATATTGAAGAGATGGTAAGTGCCCCGCACCGTTAGCACACCGCCGCACGTGACGCTGCCGATCATCAGCTCGCCGCCGTGGGCTCAGACCGCTGGGTTGGGGCCGGGGATTGACGAATCTTGCACCGTTGTATCGACCGCCACATCGGGCGGCTGGGCGGGCGACGTCTGCCTGGATTGCGAGTCGAGTGTGCGAACCGTAACACGTCACTGTGGCAGCATCCCCGCTGGATGTATTTCACAAAACCACCCCCAGTGTCATGTCATGTATTGCAGATCAATCGTGATCATCCCGCAACGCAGCTGTCATGGTTACGCTGGAACCTTCGCTCGATACAGTGGCCGGTTCCATAAAAAATGAAATAGACCTCACCCTGCCATAGGAATGTGTAATTTTGACAAATTTCCAACGAGATTAGCAGTGGAGATGAGTTCTCGCTTCGTACTCTTTGGTTCTATTGGGTAAAGTCACGTAGGTGAAAATAAATCTAGAATTCTCGCTTCGTGTTCAGAAAGCATGAGAAGGAGGCTTTCAAACCGAGCGCAACAAGGCGATTGACATTTTAATCGGCGCGCACTGCCTTGCGATGCCATGTGCACGCGAAGCACGTGGAGACAGACAAAGAGGAAGAAATTAAAGCTCAAAGGTTCTTAAAGAAGCACGGAGAGATGCAAGCTTGGCAGACAGTGGAGTACATGGTCTCGAGAACATAATCAGGGTCAAAGACGTCATTTGGACTGTTCAGAAAAGTGAGTGGCTCAGCGAGGACACGTGAATATGTAAGGAATGATGGCCCGTGGCCGACATATACTCCTGCGCGGCAGCCAAAGGAGTAATCGCGCCAAAGAGCACGTCCACCGCGGAGATGGAGCGAAGAGATTGGGGCTCCTGTGCAGGCGCTACCGGGGAATTGTCGCATCGCGGCATCGCGAAGGATGACGGCGTCTTGGGGATGATGTCGAGTTTGCACGTGTGTCTTATTGCAAGTTTGAGTCACTTATTTTACCGGCACGTCTTCTATGGATCAGTGCTGCAACACCAACCCGGGGGGTATTGAACTTGCCAGGGGAAATGTACGACTTCAACTCGATTTTTTTAGTAAGTTATGAAACGGGATATGAGTGGAAATTTCCACACGAAGTGATGATGAAATTTAGTCATTTTCTGTGTGTAGATAAATAATGTTTTGTTAAAATAAAACACAGAGCTAACCACTTATTTGCCAAGCAGGGGAGTGCCATTGGTGATTGTGTAAGCTAGGCCCTTAAAGTATGTTAGGTAAAGGTAGGTGTTGCCATTACTTTACTACTATAATGACCCAAGAATGTCTGTGTGTCCCGCGTGTGACGTCAATCCACGTGGATCAGCCCCCTCATTGATAATCATGAGCGGGTGACGTCCTCCACATGGACACCCCCCTCATTAATAATCATGAGCGGGTGACGTCCTCCACATGGACCCCCCCCCTCATTAATAATCATGAGCGGGTGACGTCACTCCACATGGGGGGGGGGGCGAGGCGTCTCCTCCCCCCTCTTCAGCGTCAACTTAGGGGCCTGCCTTTATGTCCGTACGCAAAAATGTGTCAAGACTTGACCCCTCCCTGTACGCAGGCGTACTTCTTACCCCCCCCCTACCTGGGTACGTTCGCCTGACGCACCCCCCCCTCCCCGAATCCTATAGAACGGCCGATATTTAATCCACGCAGAAACGATCAAGGATTAATAACATTAACGTGTTTAAGCAAACAGATAGTCCACCGCCGGACTATCTAACTCATTTGAAGGCCAATGTAGACAAATTATTATCGAGGCTTCACCTTCCCCCCCCCCGTTTCCTATTCGTACATTGTCAGTAGACCCCCCCCCCCATACACAGGCTACGCATTTGGGTTAACCCCCCCGTCCCCCCTCCATGCACACGTACTAAATGGATGGCCCCTTACAACCCTCGCTACAAAGGCAGAACCCTCACGTCACGCGATCTCCGTAACGCTGTTGAGACGTCAAAGTAAAAAGGACGTCTTGATGAACAAAGGATTATAACCTTTAAATGAAATACTTCTGTGTCACCGCACCCTTACTAATTGCACGCGAATTGATGCAATGAACATCACGTCGCGGTCTGCTTTTCGCTTGCAAGTTTAAGATTTACTGCAATACACCCGTCCTTGGACGGGCAAAAAGCGAGTCTATCATAAAGCCCACAGTGTGGTTTGCTTTGCGGTGATAAGGGGAGTTTTAACAAAGGCAATGTGTCCCGTGTGTGTAGGCCTATCCGCAATCTCAATTTGCACTGGCTTGGTGATTTGTGACAAAAGACACAAAATTCTATAAAAAAATAAATCTCTTTCGCAAGTGTGACAGAGTATAAACCCACGTGTGTTTTGCACGTATTACACGGCGCGGTGTGATGGTAAATGTTTTTCTGGACCAACTTATAAAACATACCCTGAGCGTTAACCAAGTGAAGCTCCCACTGCCTTTAAAATAAATCCGTGAAAATGTTTTTATATATGTATTTTAAAGATATGTATAAAATACAGTTGTGTATATTAGAGTATTTGTTGATGAAGGTTCTTGCTCTGTGATGTCCAATCTTGTTTAGAATTTATTTTTTATTGCTATCGTTTGGCTTTCAAGAGCCCACAAGGAGCCATACTGAACTCACTCTGTATCCAGTCGAGACTTAACACCTTTGTCAGTACGGCTTTAATTACAATGGCTGTAAACAATGGAAGAACCCTTGAATTGAAAGGGAATTCGCCACCCCTGGCAGTCACCACCCCTGTCCACTTCAGAAACCCAGCAAGAGCCCCTTGCAGCCAAATCAACAAGGAAACTGCCGCATGTGGTTCTGTACTTTGCCTGCGATAGCTTTGAATCTATGTCAGACCAAAATATTGTTCTTGGTGACTTTTTTATTGAGATGGCAGTTATTGCCATCGTTATTGCTGCGTATTATTTTAAACGATCGTTCAGAAATAAAGTAAATAAAGTTCCACGCCGTGTGGCGCTGTGAACGGAACCGCCCGGGTCGAGAATCTGCGGAGTTCAAATCCCCGTCGGGGTGGGCGTCCACTCGGTCCATCATCCTTCCCGTGGTCGGCGAAATCGAGCACGGCTTTGTGGGAAGCCAACAGCGGTCATCTTCTAGAGAGAGCGGTCCCCCGTCACGATCGTGCGAGATTTCCACCGCGGGCTTGGGGAAGCCGACAGAGATGAGCACCACCTAACGCTTGGCTCGCGAACGGACAGTGGCGACGCTCGGTGTACGCAAACCATGCAAAGGTGTGCGCGCCCAGTAGCTCGAGGGGCCCTGGAGGCATGACACCATTAATGTGGTGCACCAAAAAAATCACCTCGAATTCAGATTCTTATATAAATCGTAATTCTAATAACACTATTAACATAATTACACTATTAACATAATGTTAATAGTGTAATTAGTCCATTGCCTTAATTACATCGCACAAAACTGCGCACGACGTAATGACGTTACATCGCCTGCTCACGCATACACCGTGTGGAGTCGGGCGAGGCACCCACAAGGGATGTCTCCTCAGGCCTCCTCCCAGCTGGGCGGGCACCACCGCCACCGCCGTTGCCCGGCCCTGCTGTCACCACCGCCACTGCCCGGCCCCGCGATCACGCCTCTCCGATCTCCACCGCGTCCTGGTGGGCACCCTTCTTGGCGTGCGCCACCGCCCCGTTGGCCAGGGTGATGGTCTCCAGGTGCGAGTTCCTCTTGTTCTGCTCCACCTCGCTCAGCAGCGCGGCGCCGGCGCCGCCGCCGCCAGCGGACCTGCCGGGCGCTTCTCCTCCGGCGAACCTCTCCGGCCTTCGCCGCCCCTCCGGCGTCCTCGACCGACTGCGTCCCCTCTCGCCGTCGCCCTTCCGCTGGCCGGGGGGCGCCCCGCCGCCCCCCTCGCTCGCCGACGAGCCCCCCCCCCGCCTCTTCCGCCGGCCGCGCCAGCCGCCCCCTCCGCCGGAGGGGCGCTCTGAGCCGCGGCGCCGGCAAACGCGGCTGCAGTAGCGCACCAGCAGGTAGACCAGCTCGGCCAGGTTGAGCAACAGGCAGACGGCCGACACGGCCAGCATGAAGATGGTGAAGATGGTCTTCTCGGTGGGGCGCGACACGAAGCAGTCCACGACGTTGGGGCACGGCGACGCGTCGCACTTGATGAGCCGCGGCATCTTGACGCCGCTGTAGATGAAGTAGAACGCGTAGAGGAAGGAGCACTCGAAGGCGACGCGGAAGAGCACGCTCACCACGTACGTGCACAGCAGCAGGCCGTCGATCGGCGGCTTCCGCACGGCGACGTCGTCGTAGGCACGCCCGCACCGCCGCGCCTTCCGCTTGGCCCTGCGGTGGCGGTGAGCGACGTGCATGGCCACGAGCAGCGCCGGCGTCGACACGAAGATCAGCTGCAGGGCCCAGAGGCGCACGTGCGAGATGGGGAAGTGGTGGTCGTAGCACACGTTCTGGCAGCCCGGCTGCAGCGTGTTGCACACAAAGTCGGACTGCTCGTCGCCCCACACGCTCTCGGCCGCCACCACCAGCACCATGATGCGGAAGATGAAGAGCACGGAGAGCCACACGCGGCCGATGGACGTGGAGTAGCGGTTGGCGCCGCTCAGCACCTCGTAGAGGCCGGCCCAGTTCATGGCGCCAGCCGGCCTCGTCTTGTCGCCAGGTGCTGAGCGAAGGGGCTTGGGTTGATGAATTTACTCGGTTCCACTCTCCCGTTCCCTGTTCAAAGACAGAAATGGAGATAAACGAGTTAAGGAGTTTTTTTTTTTTTATATATCGCGCGCGGGGATACGTCGAGTCATCGATTCGCATAGATTTGTACGCGTTCACGACACGTGCATTGAACAAGGGGTGTGATAAACGACTGTTTAAAACTTTAATGATGTGCTAAGTCATCATCGTGTGTCACCTCCAATCCGGGGATTGACAGTCGCGCATTTCCCATCTCGTGCTGGCCCCTGTTTTTGTGAAACATGCCGCACTTCGTCTGTCCTTGTGAACAAACCACTTCAATACCTCTCGAGCAGCGATTCTTAACCTGGGGGTGCGAGATGCCCTTTCTGGCGCTGCGAGAAATGGCGAGATGTTTTTAGAAGGTAAATCATCCAAACACAAATTAAGCACGGGCACGTACGTACAACTTACTTTGTTTCATCAAACCCTCTATGTATTTATTAACATTGTACATTTTTGTAATAATTGAGAGCCAAAAAGATTCAAGGCTGCAGTAAAGGTGAAGAACCACTGATCTAGACTAACGGCGCAAACAACACGGCAAATAGCGAGACACGCACATTTGAGAAACAATACAAACGAGACCAAAAGGACAGATTACTGAATCGGATCGTGAACTTGAATTCTAACAATATGATCCCTCGTTACATGACCAGTTGGCCGGTGGTGGCTATACTGCTCATGGCCTCTAATCCAGAACCGTGGAGGCAGAGAGGGTTGGTGGATCACACAAATGTTGTGAAACTTCCTTCCCGGGGGCTTCGGGGAGGTTGCCGTAGTCTGGCTCATCAGGAGAAAGCGGTACAGCAAACGTGGACTCCATCTCTTTTTATTTGTCATACCTTCATACTTAGATACTGGCAAAAAAGGGTCCCATGATATGTGGATTCCATCTATTCCATCTGCATGGGATAGAGCGTTGCCCCTTCACACACGTGGGTTCTCTAGGTGCTCCAGTTTCCTCCCACGGCCGATAACTTAATATAAAGAGGACCATATTCTTTGGGTCATTCGGTAAAGCCACGTAGATAGAAAAAAGTAATAAAAAATCACAATATCACGACGTTTCGATCGCAACACGAGAAATCGTCTTCACCTGATTACGATTGCTTGTGTTTCGATTGCAACGTTTCGATCGCAACACAATCAATCATCTTCAGGTGAAGACGATTGCTTGTGTTGCGATCGAAACGTCGTGATATTGTGATTTTTTTTTTATAATCTTTCTATCTATGTGGCTTTACCGAAAGACCCAAAGAATATGAATTCCTGCAATCACGAAAGCTTTAAGTGACGATAAAGAGGACCGCAGGGCTTGGGAAAGTGTTGGTAGTGGCAGCTCACTGTATGGATGTTGCCGTCCCACTTCTCTGTGGTTTCTCGCACCTGACACATTGTTTCTCTTCAGAATCAGAATATTTATTTCATACTGGAGGAATACGATGAACTATGAAGCTCTTTTTCACAGATGTGAGCAACAACGATCGCACACTGCTCCGGGTGTTGCGCTGGGCGCGTGTCCCTTCAGTGCAGGAGCAAACGCGCCAGGGGGCCTTCAATCGCGGCCAGGTCTCGGGTCGTGGTGGTTGGGGCAGCCTTTGTAGCACTGACTCCCCGCCAATACGAGGAGACGGTGGCAGTGCACGAGAGGGGTTCGCCGGGTTCGCGGGAGAGGAGGGTGGAGGTTGGTGAGTGCGCTCCGCTGTGTGTGGTCGGCCTGGCCTCTGTGCCCTCTGCAAGCGCCCTCCGGCCCTTTCCCGAAACACGCAGTGCTGAGATCCGCGCAAAAGCAAGGGGCAATTACGTCCCGTCTGCCCTCCGCCAAACAACAAACACAACAACAAACACGAGTGGACGGAAAGTTTTGCGTAAATTCTCGAAGCCCAATTGTGAATTCTGGGGGAAGGGATGGGGTGGAGGGGTGATACAGGGGACATGAACTGCTGCTTCCAACGCGCATCGCCAATAGGTACGGCGAGGGATTGATTTCAGCCGGAGCTGTCCAGGGCAGAGCTCTGTAAAATCTTTCCTTAGTGGGAGTTAGGTTGTGCGCAAGGGGGTTGCATGTATGTATCTTGAACTTCTTTCGCACAGTACGTAGCCAACCATGGTCATCGGAGGTGAAGGGCAGGGGGTGGTTAATATTCCACAAGAAATTAAGCCTCCAGTACAACTGTCAATCCACTGCTGGATGAGGGCCTCTCCAAGTCGTTTCGATTGAGGATGTTGTTTGACCATACTTCACCAATGCTGGTCAGAGTCGGTGAAGGGGGTGTAGGGTCCGGGACTGGTTCAGATTGAGTTGTGGTCACTCACCATTGATAACCAATGGGCAGAGTGCTTTGCCCCATCTCACATTTGCATGAATCTGTGGTCACACTATATATGTATTATACATTGAATTGTAGTGAATATCGTGCCTCTAATGGCTGCAGAGGTCACTTAAACCAATTATATACAACATTAACTTACATCCCTTTCTCAGTCCACTCCTGGATGAAGGCCTCGGCCACACTGTATCGATTATTGGAAGTTGTTTGACCATACGTCACCGCACTGGCATGTGTGAGTTGGCGGTGAAGAAGCCCCTGTTATTGTCGGCTCCAATCGAGGTATAGTCGGAGGTGTGGGGGGGGCAGAGGGCCAAGTGGTAGGGCACACAGGGCAGCCAGCCTGGATCGTGGCCGGGTCATTAAATCCTGAAACTAAACTAATGTTTTATTTTACCAGGTAAGGCCACTAAGCTATAAAGGTCTTTTTCAGAAGCTACCTGGCTATCGCAAATGATAGCTCAACGAAGTGGATTTTCATTTGGAAATTTATAGCAGTCAAATACTCGCAACGCACGTTGATTCTAAATGTTGAAATAAAAGCCGGAGGACCCGGAGAAAAAAATCCACGCGACCACGGAGAGAGACACGCAAACTCAAAATATACAGGCGTCATCAGGGTTGGGATCGAACCCACAACCTCCTCCATACTCTAGTGGCTTCCGATATCAGGAAGCCACTAGAGCTATGCACTATACTGAAAACAATTTCTTTAGAACTGCTTTTTGTGTTTAGTTTGTTGTCCTTCCCCCGCACCTCCGATTAGCACAGTTGGCTATGTACGACGCGAAAAAAGTTCAACGTGCAGTACATGCATGGTCAACAAGGACGAGTTTGCTCCAGGGTCAATGCGACCCTGGCCACGCTCCAGGGTCAATGGGATTGGAGCGTGGCCCACTGTTGACGCTTCCCTGGGCCCCGTCGTCACCCAGCCTCCTGCCAACTCAAAGCTGGTGGCACGACTTTCCACGTGAAGCCGCCTGGTTGCGAACGTTGCTGCAGGCAGTGCCACTAACGGCTTTGATTGGCTGGAATTGACCAGGCAGCCTTACTCGTGAAATTACTGGCTCCAAGCCAGTAATTCTCACCCAGAATGCTCATAAGCAGCCTTACTCGTGACATCTGAATAAACTCCAGCGTCTTTGTTGCCATTCATATAAAAAATAAGGCCATGATCCACTTTGCTGTTAATACATTCCGAAAAGAAACGATTGTATAGTTGTATGCACGATGAAAGTGTCAAAATAGCGACACAAAGTGTTGATTTGATTTATAAAAAAAATATACATATGAACCTATATTTCATAATTTTGGGCTATAACTTTAATCCGATCTAATATGTGTACTGGTATGTACACTTTGTTGAATTCAGCAATGATTATAATTTATAATTTATTAAAACCACTATGCAGTATATCGCTTACAGACGGATGTAAACCCCACTATATTAACCTGTACCGTTATTTTTTTCCACTGCAACTTCAATACAATTTAAATCATTCAACATAACTGTCATTATATTAAGATATCATACATACATGAACGCCGGTGAACATTTTACATACATCTATGGAACCCTTTTTGCCAGTATTAAGATGATACAAAGAAAAGGCTGTACCAATATTATTGCCAGAAAGGGGAAAGTATTTACTTATTTTTACTATCTTAATACAGTCCCGTCAAAAAATTGTCCCGTAGATGGAACTGCATAACCTGAGCTATTCGTGCTTTGGCGATTGCATTGCCCTTGTACTGTTTGCTTTTTGCCGTTTCGTGCTCGATGCTATAAAGGAAGCTGTCTCTGGTGTAGGCCAATCAGTTTTAAAGTTCACTACTTTAGCCCACCGGTGCGTTGACGAGTGAATCCCCAACATTTACATTTTGTATAATTACCACTTTGCATACATTTCTATTTTCCCAGTATTCTATTAACATAATTAATTTAAGTCACAATAAAAAAAATACTAAATTCTACATTGTTAATCCACTGCTATGAATGCCTTTCTTACGCCGTGTCGGTCATGGGAGGTGGTTTGACCATCGCTATCACCACTCTGGTCAGTGCGTGTCCAGGACAGGTTCAGATGTCACTCCACCCACTGACCTTAGCCATGGCCTGGAATTCTAACTCGCATAGCTAGCTATTGTAGCAGAGTGCGCTCACCAGAATGCCCACCGCTGCATCACACAGTGAGAAGTTATCCTGCTGAAATGAATAAATAAATGTGCTTCACATCATAAGTAGGGCGACGTGCTTACACAGACCTTTGTCACGACCGCTCAAGAGAAACCGCAAGGACACGGCGGGCTTTATGGCAAATAAAATAAATGCGTCAGTGTAGCTTGGAAATTGGATGCCAATTTTGTTGGCCCTATGTGAATGATACGATTCCATGACATGACGGCGGTTAACTAAGTAAGACTTAATTATGACTGAAATCCTCTCGGAAGGAATAAGTCTTATCCAGTCCAATGTTCTCATGCACATACTGGCCAACAGGGAATAGTTACAGCAAAACGTTGCTTCATTTCTTTGACAGAAAATGAACGGCTCAAGTGGATTACAAACTCCCAGATCCAGGAGGTGGGAAAACGCCGCAGTTAGAATGAAATCCAGGTCGTCGCGATCCAAGAAGCGACAATCTTACAAAGGAG